CGATATTTGATTTTTACCTTTTCGTTGTTTTGAGGATTGGGAAAGTGGAGGAATGGAATCAGCTTTATTGTTAATCTGACGAATGAGCTCATTACTTACTTCCCTCTGCAAACAAGAGGACAGGTATTGAAAAGGGAGCATAAAAAGAGAAACGGATGAGAAACTTCAGGGAACAGGAAAAATCAAAAAAAGATTTGAAGCTATCATGCTACGCTTGCGAGTACTGCGGCGCTTGTAGGGCAGAGGATCAGCTAGCAGGAAAAGATGTTATTGAGCAAGAAAATTTACAGTAATTGCCTCCTGCGCAATCCCTCTGTTTGCCACATCGTGCTGTGTGTGTGTGTGTGAGAAAAAGAAATGCTCCTTATTTTCATTCCTCCTCTCCGCGCTTTTTCCTGCTTTGTTCATGCTGTGTTGCTTACTCATGACAGTTTTTGTTGATTACTACCCAAAAAAGACAGTAAACAGTTTGTAGCGTAGAAGCAGGCAGGCAGGCAGGAATCAGCGCCTTCTGAGTGGTATTCATCTGATTTTGCGCATGTAGCGAATTCAGCAATGGCCGATATGGAAATGTTTGTATTAAAAGGTACGAACGGCTATTTGGATTATTTACAGGCGGAGACTGTTGTGAAAGCTTTAAAAGGAACAAAAGTAGTAGAGCGGCGGGCAACACGATCAGTTATCAAGGCGAACGCTGCTGTGGTACGTTGCTTGATGCGTTTTTGATAGACTGAAGTTGCGAATATATTGTCCAAGCGGCCCAGACAAATCAGTCGTAGTGGAATTTCGGACGTAGGGGGAGGCAACTGTACACTTTACATGGCGCCACAAATATAGTGCTTGTGTCATTGGTTGTGGTAGCCAGAGCTGAGAGTTGATTCTCAGGGGATGCTTGCTTCTTCCTGACAGTGGCTGTTGCAGGTTGAAAAGCACAAGACAAAAAGAAGAAAAAAGCAGAAGGGAACTGCTCCCGTCGATGACGCTGAAGAGGATGTCCTGGAAGATCTGGTCCTTTCTGATCCAGAAAATTAATTCCATGCTTAATTTCGTGCCTTTTCTTTAATATGTTGTTGCTTAATAAAATCATTGCTCTTGTAGAACCAGTGCCTGACCGCATTGAATTGTAGTGCAATTCACATATTGCGGATGTTTTTATGTTTGTTTGGGGCAGTAATTTCAGTACTCTCACCGACTGGGTCGGGCATATATCACATGATAATGCACAACGGTTTTTGAACTCACAGCAACAACGGGGAGCTGATAGGCCGTTCGTAGGGGAAGGTGGACGGCAAGCGGGAACGAAAGCAGTACGGGGGAGGGAGGCGCATAACTCGCTCTGTAATTAGCACATTATATTGCAGAACGACGACGTATAGTAGTGCTGCGCGACACTGAAGACTGTGCAAGTCTGTGTAATTTCGAAAGCTGAATTAACACAGGAGCAGAGCCATCATCGGGATAGCAGCTGGGTTGTTGCGGGAACAATGGTTGGTTTTCAAGCCTTAACTTTAGTAAATTTATTGGGTGGAAAGAGATCTCAGGCATTTTTTTTTTTTTGCAGCAGCAGCATCATCTGCGAGTTTTCGTGCTCTTTGAATGCACGTCCGATAATTTCTTTTTGGTTCCTCATGTCAAGAATCTCGATGAAAGTCCTGGCAAATCTATACCTGATTATTCTCCATCGTTGCGATACAATATTGTAAATACATCGCGCCTTTTTTTTTGTGGGTTGTATGTCTGCTGGCCAGGCAAAGATTAGTTTGGTCTAAGGAAGTCTAATGTGTGGTTAGCAGGAGCGAAGCGATAGAGGAACGACGATATTTCCTTTTGTCTCTCATAATTCCACCAGTGGAAGCGTATGAAGAATTGCCTGGAATCCAAACGGCTGTGAGCAGCATCTCTCGAGACCAAATTCTTCCTGGCAAACTGTAGAGGGTTTTTTTTTTTTTGTTAAACCGAATCGTTCTGTAGTTTAAAATCCTAATAAAACGTGGTCCCATTTAACCAACACTGCACGCAAAAAGAATTTATCGACATTTTCAAGAATACAGCAGTCGATGGA